TGTTCTGTCTTGTTGTCCCTGTGCTGCTTGACCATATTTTCCTAGTCTCTGCTGCTTCTCTGTATGTCTTATATATGTCTGTATGCCTTTTGAGATCATACAGCATGTGGGGGTTCAACTGTGCAGGTAAGTAATACTGTATTATAGCATTTTTCTAGGGCAGTTAATAAGTTGCCATATTTTTGCATCGTATGAAAAGACCAAGTGGAGTTCAAATAGAACAGCTAAACTAAGTTCAATATGGCTAGAAAAACTAACTCCAGATAGCACAACAAATTGTTTCTTGGTAGTAAATAGTACATAGGTAGTTAATATTGACATTAAGCAAGAGAGAGTATCACCAGAGATTCGTGTGTAATTTCCACACAGAAACTTTATACAAGTTGGCTTCTTGTACTGTCACAATAATGACTTTATATATATAAACAGTATTGGATCCTTGACAACTGCAGCTGGTAAGGTTGCTGGACCTTTAAACAGCAGTATGGAAACCGAACAACTAGAGAGTGCAGTAGACCCTGTTCCAAAGTTGCAGACAGCTCAGAAACGGTTGGCTGCTGAGCTTGAAGAGCATGATTTTCCTCCTTCCAAGAAAATTCCATCTACTGTTGCAGTGGAAAATAACCTGGAAACCACTTACAAGGTGAGATCATAATTTGATGAGTTTTCATCCATGGGGTAGATGCATAACACATAATAGAGCATTTTAATTATGTTTCTTTTTTTAATGGCGTCACTTGCTTAAATATTTACTATATATGCCTATGCAACTTAAAGGAAAATCAACACTATGGATTGCTTTTAGTTTTTAAATCTACAACCAGTTTTGGGTGCTTGTTTATTTATTATTAAGGTTTTTTGAGAATCTGTAGGCTCTCAGGTGTTTTTTAATTAGACTTCCTAGTAGACAGACTGGTAATATGTCTTACTTGGTTCATTCTGCATCACCCTTATGACAATGGCATTGCAGGAGAGGAAACTGGAGGTATATTGTGAGGCTAGCAGGATGTCTACGTTCACTGAATGATGTTTTGAATCTGCATTGTGTCTGTTACATGAAGAAGCTCTTCAGTATATTCCTATTGATTCTTAACATAGCAGGTACTAGTTTAAAAGAGCAAGCTGCCAGTGAAAACAAGCCACCATCTTTCCAGCATCCTTCTGTGCTTTTTTACAATATGACCAAGCTTATGGCAGCAACTACCATTGATTTTCATAAGTGGGCTAAGATTGTGTAGTGTACCTTGGTGTAGGAATGGGTGGTAATTCCCCAGATGATTCAGAGAGCTTTTCTAGGAAGGGATGGATAGCAGTCTTCTTTCTTCTTTGATCTCTTATCTCAATGTCCTTGTCTTGAGTAATTTGTCTTAAGAACACCTTGAAAAACCTGCTTAGGAAATGAGTTAAGTGATGAATGATGCTGCACTGTCTTCTGTATCAGTCCTGCTCTTAGAACTGTGCATGTGTGATATGAGTTTATCAACTTCATTGTCTCTTCTGTACTGAGAGCAATAAAAAACCCTCTTTTTTCTTTTTTAAATACAGGATTATTCAATTAAATCCACAGATGTTCCAGAGGTAATTTCTGGTATGTACAGTGTGTACACTTAAACTTGTAAACCGAAGTATAATGAATGTAAACACATCACAACTTAATAGTGGTTGTCATGCTAAATAGTTCTGTCTGAGGCCATCTAATACAAAAGTAGAAATAAGTTTTCCTCGTACTACACTAATACAACCATTCCATGCTTTCTGCTGTAAACTAGGTGTGCTGAATTACATAAATGTTGATTATTTAATAATGGTTTTAAAAGCATTGTTGTAGCTAGTTTATTGGTGAAATTTGAGAGGTTTTTTTGACTAAACATGTTATCTTCTCTTAAGCAAATATTTCCACCTGTTAAAAAGCACAAATAATCAAAAGTATTAACTGGAATTTTAACCACACAATGCCAAAATAGTTTATTTTTATTTTGTTTTGAATTTTTACTGAAAAATTATGGAACTGTTTAGGAGTCTAATCTGCCTCTGAATAAACAGAGAAAAAGCAGAACTACTGACAATGCAATCTTCATTGATCTGAGCCGGTGAAGGGGTTGGTGAACTATAATTTTGGCTCTGAAAAAGACTTCTAAGGGAAGTTGTAGAAGGTTAAACAGCTAGGTGACTAAGTTCTGTGGTGTGTTACAAAGGATGGGGGGTGGGGGGGAGTGTGCTGTAAAATTTGAAACCACAATTCTACCAGCTTTTTCCCATAACATCTCTATGATCTTACAGGCTTTAAAAGTAGACCACGAACTTTTAATTCGTAGTGGTGACTTATGAATATAAATGGACAAATAAAACTAAACAAAAATTCAGCCCTTCTGCTGTAATGGTTCAAACCATTTTAATATCACATTTTTTGGGCCCTTGTATTATTACTGAAGTCTTTGACTCTCAACTCCTTTTACAGGGAATCCTTTTCAAAAAACAGAGTCTTCATCAAAGGGAAAAGTACTTACTTCTGTATTGGTGTCTGAGTCTATCTCACAACTGGCTGACAGAAGCCAGCTTGAGACTTTGGAGAGCTTAGGGAAAGCACCACTTGAGAATGCAGCATCTGAAAAGGAAGAGGAGTTTATGTCTAGGTTAACCTCTAACAGAAGAGCAGAAGTAAGTGGACAAGGAAAGCAGGAGAATGTGCATGATTCTGCACAGTTGGAACATACTAGAAGCCCAGCATCATCTTCAAAAACTCCATTATTCAGGTATCCAGTAATTGCAATAATGTTTTGTTAACTTGTTCTGTAAAAAAAGATCATGTCTCTATGTTAACATCTTTTCAGTACCATTGTTTGTGACCTGCATGGCTAAGAGTTACAGTATCTATACTCTCCTGCAAATCAGAAACCGTCAAACTGTCTGGTTTGAAATTTGCCATATTTTACTCATTAAATGAGTAGATCAACTGAAGGGCACTATTGGCATACTGTGTGTCTGTTTAGACATGATAGATTCCTTTTGTCAGGCAGGCATCCATTAGCTATGGTAGGAACTTAGGATAATTTGTTGTTTTCCATAGGTAAGTCTCATGTTGTGAGATATTTACCCATCCACTTGTTTTGGTATTTGTCCTGCCAGTAAGATTTGTTACTGGTACAGAAGTGAGCACACTGAATTTTTATGACTGACTTAAGTAATTACCCTAAAGGAGTTTCAGTCTTGGCAGCTCAGAGGATATTCCTCTTACCTATATGTTGGCTTAATTTTTTAAATATACCTTTCTGTACTGTTTGTTTAAATGTTTTGAATTCATGTTCTCTGTTGCTCCTGTGTTTAATTATTTTGAATGTAATGCTCCACTGCCCTCTTCTAATCTGTCATTTACTTTTTCATTATGCTTGTGTGAGTACCAATATTGTCTATTTATATTTGGGACATCCACAGCAACTGGATAGTGATGCATTAATATGAGAATTCTTGCCTTAAAGTTTACTTTCTAATTTGTAAACTCTTAACAACATGAAAACTTAATGCTTTATGTATCTCCCTCAGTGCTGTGACTTCCAGAAGCTCACTGGTCTGGGTTTGCTGCTGTAAATAGGCTAAAACCCTGCAGCAGGTAGTCTGCTGTAGCCCCATCCTTGGGGATTAGGTTGTCCATTGATTACATGAAGGATGCTCAGAATTTTCAGTTTGTTCTTCAGAAGCGTGCCTCCATCCTTCTTGGATCCACTCTCTGAAAGTCTAGCTTGTTAGGGGCTGTGGATTAGCAGCAAATAATAGGTTCCCATTCTCAGGCTTAAAAATTGTCAAGATTCTCTGTGACTGTTCAAAAAAACTTTTGTACCAGAATATTCAGTAATACCAAAGCCTTTCTCGGAATGACTTTTTGGGGTTTTTTTTCCTTAGAATTTTCATATGTCCTGTAGGTATGTGTTTGTTTCCTGTGTATAGAATTGGACTCCTGCAATGCTATTTATATCTTCCTTTTATGGAGCAATCCTATGACATGCTGACTATATTTGTTTTGAACAGGGGTGGACGAAAACCGTTGGGATTTTTATCTTTAATTTGCAAAAAAAGTAATTCTGACTCTGCAGAAGACACCAGAGGGAATAGAGGGAAGATCCAGAAGCCGCGAATTGTGACTCCAAAACGAAGTCTAAAGAAACCCACTCCCTCCACTGAGGATGAGAGGGAATCTTGTTCCTTTCCCTCTACTTCATCATCTGTGGAACATGATCATGTAGCTGCTGATGCTGCAGTTACGGTATGAGTTTACTTTTGAACAACTATGCATTTCTGAGATGTGAGGAACAGAGAATTAGTTTCAGGAGTGAGTAGATGGGTGTGTATCATTCATGTTTTGAGTCCAGTATCTGTTCCAGTTGACAAATTCTGACTTGTGCATGTTTAGGAAACTTGTAAGGGAACTAAGTTGATTTTTCTGTGCATGGATATCTATTTATTTCTCATTTTCAGTAAACTCTGATTTTTTTTTTCCTTTGGTCAAAACTTCCTACATAAATAAAATACCCTTACAAATAGCTCACAGGCATATATGTGTAAATATATTTAAACATGCACACTGATGAAGACTGCTAAGAACAACTTTTTCTTGTTTTATCAGGTTCCAAGTAACAACTCATCTGAGAAGCCACCTCTCTGTACTAAAGATCAAGAGAAGGAAGGAGAGCCAACCAAAATCTCTGAGTACTTTTTCAGTGACATCTTTATGGAAGTGGATGATTCAGAATAGCAAATGGGTTTTATAAGAACTAGGATCACAGAATATACTGCAACAAGAAAAGAGTATTTTAAAAGTTGCAATTTGTTCTGATATTCATTATGCCACACTTAATGTCAACCAGTAATAACAGTACAGATAAAATACCAGGAAAGTGATCTCTTTAACATTCAGGGGAAACTGAACGTTCTCCAAAAGTGACGTAACAGATTCAAAGGAGAAGATGGAAAGGAAAAGCTGGAAAGCCTCATCTCCTGCTCCTCCTTTCCTTTCCCTCTACTTCATCATCTGTGGAACATGATCATGTAGCTGCTGATGCTGCAGTTACGGTATGAGTTTACTTTTGAACAACTATGCATTTCTGAGATGTGAGGAACAGAGAATTAGTTTCAGGAGTGAGTAGATGGGTGTGTATCATTCATGTTTTGAGTCCAGTATCTGTTCCAGTTGACAAATTCTGACTTGTGCATGTTTAGGAAACTTGTAAGGGAACTAAGTTGATTTTTCTGTGCATGGATATCTATTTATTTCTCATTTTCAGTAAACTCTGATTTTTTTTTTCCTTTGGTCAAAACTTCCTACATAAATAAAATACCCTTACAAATAGCTCACAGGCATATATGTGTAAATATATTTAAACATGCACACTGATGAAGACTGCTAAGAACAACTTTTTCTTGTTTTATCAGGTTCCAAGTAACAACTCATCTGAGAAGCCACCTCTCTGTACTAAAGATCAAGAGAAGGAAGGAGAGCCAACCAAAATCTCTGAGTACTTTTTCAGTGACATCTTTATGGAAGTGGATGATTCAGAATAGCAAATGGGTTTTATAAGAACTAGGATCACAGAATATACTGCAACAAGAAAAGAGTATTTTAAAAGTTGCAATTTGTTCTGATATTCATTATGCCACACTTAATGTCAACCAGTAATAACAGTACAGATAAAATACCAGGAAAGTGATCTCTTTAACATTCAGGGGAAACTGAACGTTCTCCAAAAGTGACGTAACAGATTCAAAGGAGAAGATGGAAAGGAAAAGCTGGAAAGCCTCATCTCCTGCTCCTCCTTTAACAAACTGGGTGCAATTACTAATAAAGCCCTGAAACATGCTATTGGAACTGGGACGCAGGGTTGGACAAAGAAACCATGAACCAAACATACCTTTAACAAGCTCCAGTACCTATGTAAACTCCCTATAAACCATTGTCACCGAGCCCAGCACAATAACAACCCAAATCCGTGCCCCTCTACTGTAAAAGCTACATGTTAGGGACAATACTGGATCTGTCTCCAGATAAGAAAATAAGCCTAGGGACCAGAAGGGTATTAAAACCTCAAAACAACCTAGGGACCAGAGACAGGTAAAGGCCTCCACCCAGAGAGACATTGTGAATTCAAGCAACATGGCTACTGGCTGTTTTATCTCAATACAGAGTAAGTAGAACCAAAACGCAACCAGGACAGGCTTTTTTCACTTTCTTGAGCCACATGTTGGGCAACAAAAAAAAAAAAAAGTATTTGCCCTGGTTTAGGGCACATTTGGAAGGAAGCTTTCAAAGGGGTCCCTCTAGAAAGCAAATTCAAGTGGCCCTCCCCCAACTGGTTTGTAAAGATTTCCTTGGAGAAAAGTGGAAAAAACCTGTTTATTTAATGAAGTATTCACAAGCATAAAAAGTGAACAATACTAAACAATAAAATCTCTTGCTGTTCTGAAGAGATGGCACATTCAGAAAGTCCTTTTCTTGGGGTGTAGCTCAGCTCACTTGGTCTGTTACCAGTTCCTCCTGTGCTGGAAAATGCTGCGTCCTGGGCTCCAGTGGGCCACAGGTGTGAGGTGCTTGTATTTTTCTGGGTTTGCAGTCCAGAACAAGGCTGATCAGTTCCTGAAGAAAGAAAGGCCAGTCCAGGGAACTTCTCTGCTTCAGCTGGCTAAAAACTAACTAAAAGCAAAGGAGAGCTCTCTCCTGCCCTCTGTCCGTTCTTCAGAGAACACAGTCTGTGAGAGAGAACGCAAAGGAGCAAGTGCAGCTTCTGATAACAAACTCTGCGCTTCTTCTCTCCCCCTGGTGCAGTACTTAATGTCCAGCATAAACAGAGTAGACAGCTGGGGATACGAGCATCATAGTCACCCTAGGACATGTTGTTAATTAATGCTGTGAAGATGAAATGGATTCTTTCTGAAGCCACCCAGGAACTTTCAAAATGCTGGCATAGTCTAAACCACTACAATGATGTCATAGGACCAGACTATTTGCTGACTGCCGGCTTATGGTTTCCCTTGTTTAGACACTGATAGTGAGTGTATGACTATCCTACAGAAAAGTGCAATGAAATAATGTTTAATCTTGGAAAATATCCTTTTCCATTTTAATGCTAAAGCTTCTTGGTACTGACTATTCAAGTTCTTTACTTCTTTTTGTGAAGTATGTTACGTTAGAAGGAGGAATTAACTTTTTGGGTATAATGTAATTTCTGAAGATCAGAATACAAGTATTGGAAGTGGTGTAGTGAATACATACCTGTATACATCAAGCACTGCAAGTGTTTTTATTTAAATTTCCAAATTACATATTTTTGTAAGAGTTTTTTAACCACATAATTTAAAAGATCGTAATCTGAAAAGCCCATAGGATTGGTTCCTTAAAAATTTGTTGAAAATTTAAAAACACAGTTTACTAGAAGATGATAGGTAACACAAGGTTAATGTTTGCAACTTTTTTTATCACTTGGAGGAGGAGATTGCTGTTTCCTAGTATAAATGCTAATTTTCTTCTAAATTGGAAAACAAAGCTAGAGATACAATTTATTTTCCTTATTTTCACATGTAGTTGTTTGTATATTTACTGACTTCCTCATTTTCCCTTGTGCACAGTAGCACAAAGAGATTGGATTTAAACCATGATTATAAAATGTCACTTTTGAGGGTTTGCTGCTTTGAAGCACTTGAATTAAAAGGGTTTTCTTACGTGCATGTCTGCTTGTACTGTAACTTGCCATAAAATTCTGGTTTATCTTTAGATTTTAGTTTAAGTTTTTATTTACCTCATCAAGAAATATATCTGGGTGAGGTAATTAGGTTTATGCACTCTCAAATTCAGGTGGTCGCTGAAAGAGTCAATACTTAGTCTGAAACTCCTGCTTGCAGGAGCTTGAGTAGTCTTAAAATTTTTCCCATTACTTACAGGTACTTTGCAAAGCAATTTATTATGAAGCTGAAACTGATGTTTAAATAGTATTGTTAATGCTCTCAAGAGACCTATCATCAGGTTTGGACTGGGTAATCTTTTACTGGCAGGAAAATTATATAAATATGTAGTTAATTTTGAAATAGTTGATGAAGTTTGACAAACATTTTGATGGCAGGTAAAGAATATAAATATGTGGTTAATTTTGAAATAGTTGATGAAGTTTGACAAAACATTTGAGAATGTTTTCATTTTCAGAAGTTACCGGCAAGGCTTCTGAAGGAACCTTTAAACTTTTGTCAGAGAAGAGACATACAGAAAAAAAGCTACTGTTACTGCAAATTGGTATATTAGCTCTGCCAGTGAAATGTCACTAGCAGCAGTATTCCGTGAGGCGATGGAAAAGGGACTAGTGGTCCCAGTGTAGAGTAACTTACTTGAAAGCATCTGATCAATCCACCTCACTCCCCCAAAAAACCCTCAAAAATACCAACAACAGTTTCTGTTCGAATGGTATCTTGTGCTTTGCCTAATCCATTTAACTTGAAATGTTTATCTAAATATTGTTTTACTGTAAACATTATGAAAGAGATTAATGTATACATGTAACTCTATGTATTGTATATCTTGTAGATATTAAGTATGCAAGTGTTTACTTCCTGATATGTCTGGCATGTTTATATCAATTGCACTCATAGAGCCTAAAAATAGATTCTTGGGGAGTGGCTATGAAATAATTGCTGTGAGTACCTTCTGAGTGGGTTCTGAGGGGATAATCATTCTACATTTAGTTGCATACATTTTAGCTTGCATTCATGTTACAAAGGGGGAAAAAATCAACTACTTCATTACTAATATTTATGGTGCCTTATCTGCATTGTTAATTGGGGCTATGCTTTGTTTTTCCTTGCAGCAAATACCATGCACTTTGTTAGAGGAATTTTTTTTAAGAACAAATTTAATTTGAATAGAAATAAGAGAATTTTGTGTTTTGTTTTGTGTGTGGAAGTTTTATAATGATGAAGGATGTAAGAAAATATCGTTGAAATCTCAATACATATGAGTAGCATTTTTACAAAGATGTGGCATAAAACTGCTTTGCTTAGAGTTGTCTGATGCCCTGTATCATCACATATAAGATTTCTGTGTCAAAGGAAGTAGTCCTATTCTGTATGTAAATTATGTGAATAAATTATTTTCTTTTACATGTGTTTCTGTTTCTTTAAGTATCAGTTGCAGTTTTAAAATACCTGGAAGTCCACGAAGCTAATAAGTGTGAACTAAAGGAAAAGCTGAAGTTTGGGCTGCACAACTGGGGTGTACACAGACGTGCTGGTAACAGGCTGAGCGTGGTTTAGCAGGGGTGTTGTCACTGTTCCCTGGTTTTGTTTTAGAATAGAGCCTAATTTACTTGGTATCAGACTCCCCAGTGTTGCCTTTCTCTAAAGATAAGAGCCTTGACTTAAAGTAAAACTGGAATACTGAAGAATAGCAAAGTTTTCATGGAAGGGAGAAACTCGGCCAAAGATGGTTTGCATTTTAAAAAGATCTGTCCCTATTACTGTATGACAAGTTTCTAAGAAGGGCAAGGGCTTTCCTAGGCTGTGCGTGAAAACACAGTTTTCACGTGTGGGCGTCCCAACACAATTCTTCCAAAGGGCGTTCTACAGCATTAGCTTGTCCGGAGGCCCGGGCTAGGACTCCGCGCCCGGGCCCGGCCCCGCTGTGCCCATTGGCTGCGCCGGGGGGAGTGGCGGCGGCGGCGGCCTGGGACGGCGGCCTCGGCTCGGCTTCTTCGGCTCGGCTTGCTCGGCTTGGCCCGGCCCAGCCCGGCCATGCTGCTGGGCGCCCCGCGGCTCCCGGGCCGCTGCCTGGGGCTGCTGCGCCCGCTGCTTGCTCGCGGGTACCGCGGCGAGGCGGTGGCGGCCGTGGGGTCGCGCCCCGACGCGAGCTCCCAGGCCTGTCCATTTCTGCGGGCTGAGCCTGCAAATACCGTGTGAAAAAACCGTGGGTTGGTGCAGTCGTCTGGCTCGTCGTGGATATTTTTTTCCCTTTTTAAATCAGGATGCCAGCTCTTGCTGCGTTTCAGGCTGATCGATACCATGCTAGTGAGGTGGAGACGGGGTTTGTACACAGTGGAAGGTGGAGCCTGATGATTTCAAAGTTGAATGGTTTTATGTTTGCAAATTCATTCCCGAGTTGAAATCAGGTGGAATAGCTGTACAGAGTCATGGACTTGCGTCCTAAACCATCATCTTTTGAGGAGGAGAGCTAGGTGCAATTCCAGTTGTCCTTATGAAGAGAGAAGTACTTCCATCTGGTATAAATACATTTCTTTTTAGTGGGGCATTATTAGCGCCATCATAGTCAAAATTGTGTTTACAGTTAGGCTGAGAAAAACATGGCTTTAGGTATGGATCAAGGCTGATAGGAGGGCTTGTGTTTGTTTTCATACTTGTTAATGTAAAATACAAAACAGTGTGTGAAGAAACAGCATGTATTTTTACTGAGATAGGTCCATTGGCTCTGTGTTTGGTTCTCTGATTTGTTTTGCAGAAACTAAATTTGGGACAGAAATAGGTGGCCGAAGCTTCTGTGTAATCTCAGAATTTGTCCGTATGCATATTCTTCATATATATGTACATATATATATACACACATACAAAGCTTGTGTATGTGAAGTGTGTATATATAAGTGTACAAATTCATATTTTATGTACCAGAAAATGATAGTATTTTAATAAAGGTGTTCACTCATCTGAGCTGTCCCCAGATTCGCCCTTATGTCTGGGTACCTTTCAACCTCAAAAGAAAAGCAAGGCTTGGCAAAATAGCTAATAGTGTTAGTATTTGGTAGAAATAATTTATGGAACACTCTAAGTGCAAGCGCTGCTTTACTAACACAAAGAGCTGAGTCCCTGCTCTGAGGCACTTCACCATCTGAAAAAAAAAAAGTAATACAAGGAATAGCAGTGCAAACACAAGAAGACATTATGATAGGTGATGAGGGTCTTGCCTTCTTTGGCCACTGTTTACCTTTCTGGCTGTGAATTAAAGTAGACAGGCTGGCCTTGATGATGCAAACTGTCTCTTGAACCAGATAGGCAAAAATGTAATTTAAAGGTGAGTGAGTCTAAATTCTGGAAAATGAAACAAAGTCTCTTTGAAGATTCCAGGCACTATCTCTTACATACACTTTGGTGATGTAGCAGTAATTCATATAGCTTGTGCAGTAACTGTTGGATTGGTGTATAGGGTTTGCCTCTTAATTTTGCATTCTACAAATTGAAATTTGTAGAAATCCTTGTATTAACAGCAGAACTTTACACAACTTGCTGGTACAAGGACCAGTTTCCAGAAAGAACTTGATGCCAGTTCACTGACTTTTTTTTTCATTATTTAATGACAATAATGAGGAGCCTACAAATACATGGTAGAATTAATGCATTTATTTCAGAGAGTAGTCTTTTCTCTGCGTATTCAGAATTATTTTAAAACGTCCTTTCATCTCTTTAGTAAAGTATAACTGTTCTATTCTGGTTTAAGGCATGAAAGATCGTGATAGAAGTTGAGTGAATTTAAGCAACTCAGGTGTTTTTGTGCAGTATTTCTTACAGTTTATCTAAAAAGTCCTTTCACAGTTTTCATGTAGAGTAGATAAACTAGCTACAGTGAATCAAAATCTAATGAGAAGTCTATGACTGTGATTACTGTTCTTCTATTAATATCCTCTGCCATTTTAGCTGCTTGTTTGGTTTTTTCCTATGTTAAAGGTAGTTTCTAAGCACAGTATTGTGAGCAGAAGGTGAGTGTGTTTAGAGAAAAAAAGACTGACTGAACAAGGAGAAACGGGAAAAATTTTTGGTCTGTAAAGGTGCAAAATGACCCAGCTGAACAAGCTGAACACTGAGGCAAAGTAATATTGGGTGTTGTGACAACCGCAGACTTTTAAAAGTATGGAATTACAAGATACATTTTTACCTTTCAAGAGAGTGTATTTAAACTGTTTGTGGCAGTCACAAAGGCTGAAAAATACATTGTTTCAAATGTCACTCTACAGCCAAAGCACTTCAAATGTGAGCTGAATCTGTTAATGTTTTTGTTTTATTTCTGCTTTGTTTCTTTGCCTTTCAGCGCCTAAGTGAACAAACTCAACTGCAACATTTGCAGCTTCTTCCTGAGGGAAACCTTAAGTCTGTGTGTTCAAGTATATATGAGAGTTATAGAGTGTTAGCATAGAGTTACCAGCTGTTTTTTTTCTGTCAAAGTAGACTCAAACATCATATAAATGAGAATTAGACAAGGCAATCAGATCTTTTTGTGCAGCATGTTCTTTTATTGCAGTTGCACTTTTCAAAAAGGTAGTAAAGTTCTTAATGTGTCTCCAAAAAAACCCCAACAAATTAAGCTTGACTAATACCTTTAAATTCATAAGAGACTGTAAAAAAACCCCAACCTGCTGTAATGTGCACATGGAGTTTTGGATAATTTGAATGAAGATGGTGAGCTCAGTACTGATTCACTCATATTCAGATTATGAATCTATATAGTCACCCTTGGTTGAATTTAAAATTCTGTTTTGTTCCCCACTTAGGACAACTATGAACGAATGAAGGCACTGGTAACTGAGCTACAAGAAAAAGCAGAAAAAATCAGGTTAGGTAAGTATGATAGTTTATATTTTAGAATAATAACCTGGCACTTGGCCTTGTTGAACCTCAAAGAGTTGGCCTTGCCCATTGATCCAGCCTGTCCAGATCCCTCTGCAGACTTTCCCTACCTTGCAGCAGGTCAACACTCCCATCCAGCCTGGTGTTGTCTGGGAGATTACTGAAGGTCCACTCAATCCTCTGTCCAGATTGTTGTTAAACTTACTAAACAGCACTGGACCCCAAACCAAGCCTTGTTTTTTTTGGCCCCCACTAGCTACCATGCATGAGCTGGATGTAAATCCAGCACCTCCACTCTCTGGCCCAGCCAGAGACAGAGCCCAGCTGTCCAGACAGGGCCTTTTACCCAGCTAAGAGTGCACCAATCCAAGCCACGAACAGCCAGGAGAAAGCTGTGGGAAATGGTGTCAAAGGCTTCATCAGGGTTCACAGAGACAACATCCACAGCCTTTCTTTCATCCACTAAGTAGGTCATCCTGTTGTAGAAGGAGATCAGGTTGCTCAAGCAGGACCTGCCTTCCCTAAACCTTTGCTGGCTGGGCCTGATCCCCTGGTTGTCCTGTATGTGCTGCATAATGGCACTCAAAAAATCTGCTCCATGTGGCAGATTTGTTGAGTGCCCTTATGGCACATACAGGACAACCTGGCACCACTCCCTGGCACCACTGTCAGACTGACAGGCCTGACTGACAGGCAGTTCCCTGGATTGTCTCTCCAGCCCTTCTTGCAGATGGGTGTCACACTGACTAACTTCTGGTCACCTGGGACCTCCGTCTTTAGCCATGCCTGCTGCTAAATATTGGACAGTGCCTCTGTGAGCTCTTTCACCAGCTCCCTCACTACCCTTGGGTGGATCACATCTGCCCCCATAAACTTGAGTGTGTATAAATAGTGTTGCAGGTCACTAACCACTTCCCCTTGGATTAAGGGAGCTTCAGTTTGCTCCCTGTCCCTGTCTTCCAACTCAGTGGGCTGGTATCCAGTTAAAGACTGAATCAAAGCAAGTGTTAAGTATCTTTGCCTTTTCCTCATCCTCTGTTGCTGTATTTCCCCATGCATCCAATAAAGGAAGAGGATTCTCCTTTGTCCTTCTTTTATTGGTTGATCTTTTCTGAGTTCCTAGCTGTAGTTGAGCTGGCAAGGAGAAAGCAGGTCTGTAGTAGTTTAAAAGATCGAAATCTCTTTCTTCTTTTTGACTTGTAAGGCTATCTGAATGAATTGCAGTTGACTATAATTAATGGAAATAATAAAATGAAAACACTTAATAAATGCTTAATTATGTTGCTAGAGACTGAGCATGTAGCTTTAATTTAAAATGCCCTTTTTGTGACTCATGATACTGGTTTTGTCATTTTATACACTCTTTCTTATATGATGCAATTTCTTTTACAGCTTTGGAATAGAGCACAGTTAAGATTTTGTGCTCAATGCTTTTTGTTTCCTGCTGTGAAACAGCAGTCCAGAGTTTCCTGAGGAGATGTTAAAACCCATGGGCTACCTCTGTCTTTTATGGGTGTAGAGACTGTTCAGCAATT